CGAGGCCCCCGGCCGGGCGGCGGGCGGCGAGGCCGGGGAAGCGCAGCCCCGAGGTGAGCCCGCGACGCTTTCTCCCAGGCCGGCCTCTTTTTGTCTGGCAAACGTGGCCGCGGCGGGGAGCTGTGGAGGAGCGCTGTCGGCGTCCCCCGGGGTGACAGGCGGCCGAGCGGCGCGGGGGGGCGTCCGGACCGCGTGCGCCTTGGGTGGTGCCCGAGGTGGAGGCGCCGAGCCGGGAGGACTGGGCAGCCGGAGGGGTGTGTTCGATTCATTCGAGAGTCGCGCTCTTTAAAACGGGGAAACTTTCTTTCGAGTTCCGGGAGGGGGGGAACCGACTGTTCTTGTTTCCCGCAAGACACTGGGAAGCTTTGGGGATTGTGGTCAGAGCAGCAGCGCGAGGGAGGCCGCCCGGGCTGCAAGGACAGGATCCCGGGAAGCCACCTCTTCTGCAGCAGCAGGGCTCCTGCACCCCGTTCCGGAGGCAGCGGGGTAATGCCCTTTAATCGAGCCCGGCTGAGCCCTCTAAAAGGCGCACCGGGAGCACGGGCTCAAGCATTGCTCGTGCTGCCCGCCGTCCAGCCGGACACACGCGCACACATGCACACACGCACACACACTTAGAAAATAGAAGCTCCACTTTAGAGTCCTGTGCACGCAGTTGGAGGCGGCCGAGCATTCGCAGCAGGCGGCGTCGGCTCACACACTGTGTATATTGCAGTCAGGTAAAGCTCAGCCAGCACATGGTTTTGCAGAGCCGAGCCCAAAGGTCAAGGGGCAAGGAGCTTTGCAATGCATTCAGTCCAGAGTCAGGTTCGGAAGGCTTTCTTGATTTACTGGCTTGAACCATCATTAGCAACCATTCTGAGAAGGAAGTTTGACAGGAAACCCTAGGAAATTATGCAGTTATTTTGCTATCCTGGGGTCTTGTGGATCTCAGGTATCTTCCGTATTGTTTAGACCGTAGTGGGTGCAAAACTACATTCCTCTTGCTGAGATTAGATTACGCAGCATTGGAGAAAGAAATAGAAAAGAAAAATTGCATGGATATCATAATCTATCTTCTGTACGGAGTGGGGTTGGGGGAGGGGGACGGTTAAGGTTGTCACTTTACGCTTTCTGCCTGGTCCAACCCAGCCAATGGAGTGCTGGAATCCAGACACTTTCATAGGTATTTCTTTTTTCTGGTGTTGCATTAATTTAATTGTAATATATAGAATTTTTTTTAAATGCATGTTTTCTGGAATACCGTCATTTCAGGGTAAGGCATAAGCAACTTCTGGTGCAAGTATGAGGAAGCATTTTGAGCCAAAATATTTAATTTATGGATCTGGCCACCCTGATTCTTCAGATTCTTTTTGAAATAGGGTGGGAGTGTATCTGACAGCTTCACTCTTGCAAATTGTAGCCACAGATCTAGTGCAGAAGTTTGCAGAGGCAAAGATATTTTATCATGACTTGGATCAGAAGGAATGCTTGAGATCTTTTTCTAATCTTACATTGCAGCCTCCCACTGAAATGGGGGAATTTGCATAATTCTGGGGGCTGCCTCCCCTCAGAGGTAAGGAATGTGGGATGGGAAGTCACTTTTCCCTGCGGTGGAAAGCCAGCTCTGCTCTGCTCCTGCTTTGTGAGTGCCACTTGGGTTTTTCACCATCTTTTACTTAAAACAAATAGATCATTCTGGGCACAGATGCGCAACTGGAAAAGAGTCTTTTTTGGCTTGATCTGGTGGTAAATTCTGTTTGCTGCGCCTGAGAAACCAGTTTTAACAGGATGCAATGAGTCAGTGATGGTGGGAAGCCCAGGGCTTCATTTTGTTCTTTTATTCAACTTCCTCTTAAAAACCTTTATGTCTCTGGGCAGTTGTGTGGCGAAAGTTCTGTCCAACCATCAGAAAATTTCAGAGCTAAGGATGGGAGCAAACAGAGTGCTCATGAACTTGTGAGGGGTTCTCAAGGAGACTTCTGGAACCTTAGGAATCCAGAGCCTACAAAACTCCCAGGGCTGTAGCAAGCCCTCAGCTACAATGGCAGGGACCTTAGAAAGTGGGGTTTCTGGCACCAAGCAAGCCCCCATGACAAGTTTGTGCTCTCAGTTGCCTGTTGAGGAGGAAACGAGATGTGGCCAGCCAGAGCTGCTTCTTTGTAAATCTATGGTAACACCAGAGGAAGTGGTTGGACACTCACGAGGAGCTGGCATGAACCTGCGGAGCCCACACAGAGCTGGTTCCAAGCTCTCTCCATCCATTCCCGAGGGGGCGCAGGAGCCTCTGCTGCAGCTGAGGCGGGCCTGACAGCATCTTTTCTGTGGCCGGGGAGGCCTAGGCAGCCTTCACCCCTCAGCTCTGCAGGAAGGGACCTACTCCCTGCCCGCTGGAGACCAAAATACTTCCTCCACTTTTTCTCCCTTCCAAAATTGAGCAGCGAGCCTGACAACTCTCTGTGACTGTAGGAGAAAGAAAATGCCTGGCTATGCTCCCTCTGCTTGTCGAAGCCCAGCTTTTTCTCCCTTCCAAAATTGAGCAGCGAGCCTGACAGCTCTCTGTGACTGTAGGAGAAAGAAAATGCCTGGCTATGCTCCCTCTGCTTGTCGAAGCCCAGTGACCTCTTCTAGAGAACTTGGAAAGGAATGAATCAGCTACTTGGGCATATTTAAAGGAGAAGAACCTGACAGTCATCTCAAAATGAGGGATCTGCAAGACCTAACCACAATTGCTGAAAGACAAATACTTTATTTCATAGTATTCATTTAGTTCAGAGATGCTTCTTCATTAACTATGGAGGGACAGAGGCACGTTTTAGCTTCAGCACTTGTTGAGTAGGCACCCCTGCCTGTGAGTGTGGGAGACAAGAAGAGAGCCGTTCTCACACAGACTCTGGAATGATCTTTGAGGCCTCCGGCTCATTCCACCTGGTTAGTCCTGTTGATAGTTTAGAGAGCGTCAACCTCAAGCAAATTCTCATGAAGTCAAGTGGAGAGCAAACCCTGGGGCAAAATCTTCCCCATTTAATGAGAAGCCACTCGCCTTAGGGTCTTCCAGAAGACGTTCTCTCCAACACTCTCCTTAGGGGAAGGCAGTTCATTTTTAATAGGGCAGGAAGAGCAATGAGTAGCAAGCAGGTAATGGCAAGCTGCTCACTGTCATGAAGGATGCAGTGAGGTGGGGGCTGCTGGCTTCTCTCTCCAGAACTGGCCAACTCTGTGTTTTAGTTTTTGTCTTTGCCATTATTTCCCCACCTGTAAAATGGGGATAACAGCTACCGGATGGGATGTTATTCAGGTTAATTGGTTAATGTCTGCAACCCTTTGAGCTCCTCCTCAAAGGGGAATTTACAAGGGCCTTGGGTGCAGACCACCTGCTTCCAGTCTACTCCCAGAAGCAGGGATCTCTTTCAGCAGTCTGATCCCCTTCTCTCTGGAGCTACCATAGGGAAAATAGCTATTTGATCATCTCTCCTCTCTGTTGTATTCTGTCCAGCCACCCTTAACCCAGGATTGTGGTGACAATGCATTTCTCTTTCTACTGTCTCCCCCTTGGCCTGCGGCCCGAGCTTTGTTGATCTCAGTCAGCACAGAGTTGAATAATGTATTTTAACCCAGGGGGCAGGGTGGGAATTCCCAAGATGCCAGACCTCCTGACAAGGTTCCCCTGGGGGATAGGCCTACACCACACCTCTGCCCTTTCTCAGCCATTCCCATCTCCACTTGGTCAGAAGTGCAGATTACAATGCCCATTTCGGGGCCCTGGCCTGTCTCCCTCTCACATAGTTCCTGGTCAGGCCATTGTCTTTATTTGCAGTACTACTTTGCAGTTCTTGTTTCTCGGGGGCAGTGTCTCTGGCTCTAGACCCCCCCAGTGGCAGGGAATATATGGATAAGTTACAGGCTTTTCATCTCAAACCCTTTGTGATTTCTTCTTGTAACTGCCCCCAAATACCCACAAGCCTAGGATTTTAGGGAACTGAAATGTCTTTTATGCTCTCTGTTCATGTAACAGGACTGTGTTTAGTTTTTGCAGCTTCTAATAAGACCGCACCACTAGAGAGTGTCGAGAGTCTTGTAACAAGTGGGTGAAGGCCCCAGAATAAATGGAATGCTAATTTTTACCTTTCTCTTCTCCCCCATCACATAATCAGACTCTCATTGATAATGCCCCCTCCTCTAGCAGGGCTGATCTCTAATCAGGCTAGTGTTCTGCCTTTCCAGGATGCTGCTCTGTGACCCACCTCTGCCTCCCACAAGACCACGCCAGAGAGCTGGGCACAAGATGAATGAGCACACCATCGGCTCAAGATGCACCAGCCCATCCTACTGACCCCCGAGAGGCCGAAAATGTCTGCGTGCAGTGACTTTGTGGAGCACATCTGGAAGCCCGGGTCCTGCAAGAACTGCTTCTGCCTGCGGAGCGACCACCAGCTGGTAGCCAGCCATCTCCAGCCCAGAGCAGGCAGCCTGCCCCCTCCACCTCGCCTGCCCCCCAGGCCTGAGAACTGCCACGTGGTAGATGAAGGTGTGAACAGCTCGCCCTACTCCAAGCCCACAATCGCTGTGAAGCCCACCATGATGAGCTCTGAGGCCTCGGATGTGTGGACAGAGGCCAGCCTGAGTGCTGAAGTCTCACAGGTGAGGCTGACTAACTCCTGCGGTATTTTTACAGGGGCTGCTCCTGTTCTAACACTTGGTGACTGGCTGGCAGCCAGGGAGGGCTGTTAGAGCAAGAATCCTGCAGGATGGCTTCCCGTCAGCTTGCCCCAAGATTGGTCTTTCCTGACTGCTGGTATTTTGCTCTAGCTGCCCTTCTTTCTATCTGTCCCTTCAGGCTAAGAACTGTTAATCCAGTCCCTCCAAATTTCCTCCTGTGATTTGGAGACTAGATAAGGGCAGATAAAAATGGAGCTTTATAAAAAAAAGTTTAAAATTTTTTTCAGCCAATAATTTAAACTACATACACAAGTAGCAATAATTGCATAATAAATCCCATGCATCCAATACCCTTCAAATCAACATGATCTTCAGTTACTTGTATATTCATGACCAATCTTGTTTCTTCTCTACCTCCACCACCCCATCTTCTTTATGATTTTAAAGCAAATCCCAGACATCACATCATTTCAGTACATATTTTTAAAAGATAAAGTCTTTACAAAAAACTATAACCACAATACCATTAACACACTTAAAAATGTTAGTAGTAATTCCTTAATATCATCCAGTCCAGCCAGTGTTCATATTTCCAATTTTGAAGCTTGGATTTTACCAGCTTTGATCTAGGATCACTAAAAACAGTTACATCCCTAGAGGCTAGACCACTCTGCACATCCCACGAATAAACCCTAAAAAGGTATAATTATTCAGAGGGCGCCTAGACTAGGGCTGCTGGAGTCTGCTGCTTAGACACGTGTGGGAAGCTGTATGTCTAAGATGTACTCTAAGAACTGCTTGCTACCTGTTTGACATCTTTGCCTGTTCAAGTTTTCTTCAACCAATGTGGTGAGTGCATCAGGATGGGTGTGTGAGCACATGTGAAAACTTGTAGGTCAGTTTTTTTTTTTTTTCTTTTTGTCTTTTTTCGTGACCGGTAACGGGATCGCAACCCTCGGTGTCGCGCCCATACCACGACCGGCAACGGGATCGCAACCCTCGGTGTCGCGTGCCCGCACCACGCTCAACCACTGAGCGGACAGGTCTCTATATGGGATCCAAACCCTCGGCTGGAGCACCGCCGCGCTCCCAAGCGCCGCACTCTACCGAGTGCGCCACCGGGCCGGCCCATGTAGGTCAGTTTTAAATCAGGGGAGACTTTGTTGAGAAGAGGCATTTCCTGTGATTGCAGTGAGTGCCCCTTCAGGGCTGCTCCATTTTTCCTAAGCTGGTTTCGCCCATTCACCAGGCCATTCTGGACCCCTTCAGCCTTCACCAGCATAAGCTGGGAACTCCAAGTTCAGAATCATCTGAGATAGGAGCCACATGTGGGCTCTACATTAAGGCTGCTTCTAAAAGTGGGGGTGAGAAGGGAAGGAGGGGGGAACAGTGATCTCAGTGATGGCAGTCACCATCCATCTATCTTTCTCGCAGCCCAGTTAGTGCAACCACTTAGGCAGGCTGGGGCTGAGCTTACCACTGCAACTGGGAGGACGAATAGCTCTTTGGCCTGGCCTGAAGCAAAGCGCAGAAAGAGGCAAGGAAGCCCAGCTCTAGCTCAGAAACCAGCCTTCACCCTCCAGCCCTGCCCCCAACTCTCACCCAAGGCGTTTTAAAAATCCTTAGGACTTCGATTTCCTCGGGAATGCACTGTGACAAGGTTATCAAAAAACCAACAAACACAAAGCAAAAATTGAACCAGACCCCAAACTTTATTTTCCAAGCCTGTTGAAGAACTTATTTCACCTGGCAGTTTCAAGGGAGAAAGCAAAATGTTCTTTCTTTTAGAGCTTTTTCCCTACCTCACAGACACGCTAGAAGCATTACACACCATGGGTGGGAAGGCAGCTCAGTGGGCGGCTGTGGCACCTGCCCCTGCCCTGCACTGCACAAGGCCCTTGCAATGTCCTGGCACTTCTCTCGCGCGTTTCCTCTCTTTCTTTTTTCCCGGACAAGGTCTAATATACGTCTTTTAACTTTGGGCTGTGCAGGTCATCTGGAGACGAGCCCCCGGCAAGCTGCCGGTCCCCAAGCAGGAAGAGGTGCCCATAGTTTACCTGGGCAGCTTCCGCGGGCTGCAGAAGGCGGCCAGTGCCCCCGCGCCCGCGGATGGCAGCCCGCGCTGCCCCCCAGCCTATGCCATGGTCGGCCTGCACAACCTCGAGCCCCGGGGGGACAGGAACGTCACCTTCCACCCTGTGCCCTTCCCCGACGACAAGGTTGGGCGAGAAGATAAGCCCTCATTTCCCTACCAAGAGCTGCCCTCCGCCCAGGAGAGCTTCCGCCAGAAACTGGCTGCCTTCGCGGGCATGACACCCGGCTGTCCCAAGGGCCCCGGGCCCCGCCCCTGTCCACGGCCACTGCGGGAGTCCCTGCCCTCGGAGGATGACAGCGATCCAAGGTGCTCGCCCTCGGGGGACAGCGAGGGTGGAGAGTACTGCTCCATCCTGGACTGCTGCCCCGGGAGCCCCGCTGCCAAGGACGCCTCGCAGGGCACGTGCGCGGGGCACACCGGGGAGGACAAGCGGGCTCCGAGCTTCCCCAGGGAGTGCCGTGGCCAGGGCCCGCCAGCCAACCCGCCCCGCCCGGGCCCCAAGAAGCCGTCCCTTAGCTCAGAGGCCGCCAGTTCCTCCGATGGCCTCTCCTGCGCCAGTGGCAGCAGCGGGGCCAGCAGCCCCTTCGCCCCGCTCCTCGAGAGCGATTACTGCTCCCTCATGAAGGAACCTGCACCCAGGACGCAGGAGGACTCTGGCTGCCACACGGTGACCTCTAGCAGATGCCTGGGGCTGACTGGGGAGCCCCAGCCCCCAGCCCACCCCCGGGAGGCTGCACAGCCTGAACCCATCTATGCTGAGAGCACCAAGAGGAAGAAGGCGGTTCCAGCACCTTCCAGGCCACAGGCCAAGGCAGAACAGGCAGCAGCTACCGAGGGCCAAGTACGGACAGGGAACGCCTGGGCTCAGAAGTCAGCATCTGGCCCCGATATGGCTCCCCAGGTAGCGGCCACCATCACAGTCATGGCAGCCCACCCAGAAGAGGACCATCGGACCATCTACCTGAGCAGCCCTGACTCTGCAGTGGGAGTGCAGTGGCCACGCGGGCCTGTGAGCCAGGACTCCGAGGCGGGGGAGGAGGAGACTTCAGCAGGGCAGGGGCTGAGCTCCAGGGAAAGCCATCCTCACGATGCAAGGGAAAGCATGCCCAAGGGGAGGCCCGCCATTCCCCCCAAGCTGTCCAAGAGCAGTCCCGGAGGGTCACCTGTGTCACCATCTCCCTCCCCACTGGCTGACCTCAGCGAGGGGAGCTCTGGGGGTGGCTTCATTGGGTTCCAGTCTTCATCCAGAGGCCCCACGGACCCCGCTTCTTCCTGTCAGACCAATGGTGTCACTGCTAGCAACCCTGTCAGGTGTCCCCTGCCTGCTGCCTCCTCCTCAGCCTTGGACCAGAGGCGGCCCAGGTTCCAGACTGGCACCTGGAGTCGCCAGTGCCGGATAGAGGAGGAGGAGGAGGTGGAACAGGAATTGCTGAGTCAAAGCTGGGGAAGAGAGACAGAAAATGGCACTGCAGACGGTTCAAACTCTTCTACCTGGCACCGTCTCCACCCCACAGATGGCTCTTCCGGGCAGCACAGCAAAGCTGGGACGGGGATGAGCAAATCAGCCTCTTTTGCCTTTGAGTTCCCCAAGGACAGAAGTGGCATTGAGGCATTCTCACCTCCTCCCCCGCCTCCAAAGTCCAGGTGAGTACTATTGTGTGTGACTGTCCAGAAACCTTTGCCTTAGCCACCTCTCCCAAAGGCCTTCGGGCCCAGGCCCTGAGTCCTGCACTGCAGGCACTACTGCCTGCCCAAAGGCCCTCGTGACTTTCTGTAAATTTCTGAGCGCCCCAGTGCAGCCTTTGGAGAGCAGGCGGAGTTGGTGCTTGTGTTCATGCCCAGCAAATGAACCTGCAAGTGCTGCCCTGCTTGGGATTGGCTATTTGGAATGAAGCTTTCAAAGCACCGCCAAGCTGATGCTCTTTTTTGGTGTCCATATTTTTATAGTCTGATCCTCTTTTCTCCCTCTCTCTCTGAAGTGTCTTCAGCAGGCTTTTTCAGGGAAACCCGGGAATTGTTCATTTGCTTAAACATGCAAAAGAGGGTTAAAGGAGTCTATGCTGCAGGATTTGGGGAGGCGAGAAGGCAGTACCAAGTGTGTGCTACAGAAACTGTTGCCACGATGGTGATTAAGCCTTGTGGCCAAAAGCAGAAAAGAGGAAGCTTTGCACGTGGTTAGTAACCCTCAGATGTGGATTTTTAAAGGAAGAAAATGTAGTTTTATGTTAGCATGCTGAAACTCACAGCTTTCTCCGGGCCAAAAGCAGAAAAGAGGAAGCTTTGCACGTGGTTAGTAACCCTCAGATTTGGATTTTTAAAGGAAGAAAATGTAGTTTTATGTTAGCATGCTGAAACTCACAGCTTTCTCCACCGCTTCACTGCTATCTCCTGCCACTTTAAAGTACCTTTCAAAGCCTTAAGAAACATAAATGCCTTTTTTAAGCAATTGAGCTGTGCATGGAATTTAAATTCTGGAAAAAAATTTCTCTTGATAAGAGCAAAACAGATTCCTGTTAGGGAAAGGAGAAACCTACTGTTTTTTAAAAAACAACAGTTTTTCTCTAGTCATGTCATCTCCAGTGGTTCTGTTTCAGCTGATGTGCCTCGAGGTTGAGGTCAGAAACAAGGGAATTGACCACAGAGAGAAATAGCCGTGATGCTTGACTTTGAACACCAACGTGTCTCAAGCTGTGATGGGATCTAACAGGGGCTTGTTCTTATGACCACTACTTTGTTCTGGTATAGACACCTCTCAGGTCCTCAGGTGATTGCAGACTCTCTTTGGCTACAGTTTTAACTCCCTGAACAAATGAGGGATTCAGCAACTAATCTGAGCTCCCATTTATATGGCACTTACTATGGGCCAGGCGTGGATTTAAAGGCATTAGATATATGAACTCATTTAATCCTCAGAATAGCCCTAGGAGGTAGGAATTACCAGTACCAATTTATAGATGACAAAACAGAGAGAGAGCCAAAGGAATGTGCCTGAGGTTACAGCCTACCTAGTAGTCCAGCTCCAAAGTCTGTGTCATGAATATATATGACAGTGATGGGCATAGGAATTGAGCAGAACATGAAAATAAAACATCGTCATCGTATCTGTTTGCCTCAGTCCTGGGTAGGTTAGTGGAAAGCACAGGCTTTGCCATTAGAAAACCAAGTTCATATTCCAGCTCTCTAACTTAAGAGTGACCATGAGCAAGCCACTTATTGTACCTGAGTCTCCAGGTTACTGTTTTCTAAAAGGGGATGATAATAACACTTACTCTTACAACATTCTGTTATTGAAAGGCTCAAATGAGGTGAACAACAGAATCCACTGCAGAGGTTAGTTATGCTGTAGGCAAAAGCCACCCAAGCTGTTGATTGTGGCAGCAACACCCTCACCCTATAGGAACTGGCACGGCCCAAGCCCAGGAACACCACCTGAGCCTTGGAGAAGCACCTAAAATGTTCTCATTTAAGAATCATAGGGCTTGGAGAAATCCCAGTAACCATAGCAACATGACTCAGGTAGGGTTTTAATTAGCATCAGGATTGAGATCGGAGTTTTTTTGGCCCAGTTTGTTTGATAAGACTCTTGGATTATATAGAGCTCAAACCAAGTGGGAATCTAGAGGTCCCAGGTTCTAGCCCTTAAAATACAAACATCACAAAAAGACAAAAAAGTTCTTATTTTCAGGACTTTTTGGGAGAAAAATCTAGGAAATAAAATTAGCTTAAGGGAACACAGAAAAAAGAGCATCTCGTGCTATTGAAAATAAGTCAAACTAGTATATAATGTATTTGCATTTGGGGAAGCATTTTCATTTTTCAAGCATCTCTGGCATTGTCTTTTGAATCTTCACACCTCCCCCATGAGCAGCTAAAGGGCAGGCTTGGGACCATAAGCTGACTTTGAATTCCGGAACTCAGTACTTCCTGAATTTCTCTGGGGAGGGTGCTGGGAACCCCAGAGACTTCAAACCAAGCATGTTGGGGTGTTGGCACATCAGAGTGTTAGTGAGAATGCAGTCCACAGTTGGCGCAGTACCAGATGTCAGTTTTCCAAAATGGAAAAATGTAGAAGGTGTTCAACATAGTTCACATATACCCATCTGTTAAATGGGTCCTATTTCTAATGATCAGCTTTATTCATTACGTGTGTTATGTACACTCAGATCTCTAGAGAAAGGGTCTGGTTCATGCAGGGCAGTGTTACTTTCCACTTACACAGTATGGAGAGAGAGACAGGTTCATCTGCTTTCTTGGGCCATTATAGAAAAATAGAGGATGGTTTTCTGGTTTGCCTATTGCTCTGTTTTACAAAACTGACTCCAGCACAGAGGGGGAAAAAATAGGTGTTAAGAATGCCTTTGCTTTCCTATAGTCCTGTATTGAATGTTTGGCAGTAGCTTATCTGTCTGTTTGACACATTGTCTTCTGTAAACTGCCATTTGTGTTCCTGAGAAACCTCTTGCTGTAATGCCATGCGGGACAAAGGCTCTTGATGCTTGTTTTATGCACTGACCAGCCCTTCTTTGGAGTTTAAGTGCGTGCCCAGCCCTCCTCCCAGGCAGTAAGGCAGAGTCCCAGTCCTTTCTTTTCTGCTGCTGCCAAGGCAACCTCCTCAACCGGCCAAGTAACACCTCCCTGGAATGATGGACCCCGCTGAGTCTCTGGGTCACCCCTGGTCCAATTTAGGGTAGGTTCATAAAGTGAGGATTGGCAAATACTGCTGGTTAAGAGGCGAAAAACCGCAGCCAAGAAATGTACACTCTTAATTTAAATGTCACGTTCAAGGCTTAAGGCAGTTTAATGAGAGCGGCAGTGCCTGGGGAAACAATTAAGATGCAAAAGAATCAAATTCTTTCTGCCTTTTATTTCTTCACCTGGTTTTAAATGACTTATGACTTTTGAGTGACAAGGTTAGTTGAAGGAGGATCATCTGGTTAGTGCAGACAAGCATTCCCCCCCCCTCCAAAAAAAACCCAAAATAGAGTGAAGGGCCTGAACACAGAGGTAGAATTGAGGACAACAGGGAAAGAAGAAATAAGACAGGTTTATGTGGTTTCAGTCTCCCAATGTTAGGGCCCCAGGTGAGACTAATCAAAAGAAAAGCATCCCCAGGAAAGTGAGATGTTTTTGTTTTAAAGTTACCACTCATGCTAACTTTCATCTTAGTAACCCACTGCTTACTAGATTCTCACTTTCCTCCGTGGGGATGCAGGGAGCAGAGGCTGCGTCTGACCTGGGGCTTTTGACCACTTTAATTCCTCTCCCACATTGCTTCTCAGTAAACAGGCAGTGAGTGACAGTGTCATAAATAGAGTTCATTTCTGTCCACAGAAGCAGCCACTTTGCTAATGGGAGGAACCAGAACGACTTCATTGTGTGGTCTCTCCTGTAATGTGGTCTCAGCATGAGTCTCGAGGGTGGGAATAGAAAGAGTGAGATGGTTATTTGTTTCCAGACTCTGTGCATAACCTGATTAAAACTCCAAATACTTTATTCTGGAGGCACTTTCTACTGTGGTGGGTTACAGTGGGATGGCAACAATTTACTAGGAAATCCCATGGTTTTGACATACAATGGACTTTTCTGTGCGGTGTTTTGAAGATCAGTTTGTATTAGGAAGCACTGTGTTTAGAGAATCTTCTCTCATGATGTTTAGCCTTTTTGACAAAACTTAAGTAGGCTGAAGGTTGAGTAAGTCCGGAGAGTGAACGAAAACTGGGCATACTTCAGTGGAAGAAATGGTCCCCCACACGTACACACAGTTTGGCAAATGGAACAAAGCACATGTATCAACATCGCAAGTTTATATTCTGCCCATGCCAGGAGTAAATTAATAGTTGGCCTTTTCCCATGAGTCTGTAGGTAGAACCTGGAAACATGGGAAATCTAATGATGCCATAAGAAGGGAGTATTGAAATTGATGCTTCCTGTTCTGTAATTTTTTTTAAATCATTGACTTGACAACAATATATATATAACACCTAAGACTTTCTGTCTAATTTTAGGCATATATTTTTGACTAAGCCTAGGGAATAGAGAGTCTTTAATTCATCAGATGTCTACTAATTGCATACTTTTTATTAGGCTCTGTGCAAGGTGCTAAAAAGCCAGTTACTGGGGTTCTGTCCCTTAAGGATCCTTAGGGTTGAGAGTATATGAATTAAATCAGCAGATGTGCAATATGACCACCATAGGCTCACCTCTGCTTTGATTCCCTTTGATGAGACTGGTTCTCATAGGATCTGGATCCTCACCACATTCTTATGTTCAGCAGTGCAAAGGTAAACTCAGCTTAGTGTCCAGGAGTAGTTACAGCCCTCTTTTCTAACTGTATTTTGACCTGATCCAAGATCAGGATTAGTACAGGCTTGTAAATAATGATAGATAGATAGATAGATAGATAGATAGATAGATAGATAGATAGATAGATAGATATAAATAGCAAAAGGGCTGAGGTAATATCAAAAGTATTTAGCAACTGGTATGGCATAGGCCCCTATAAGAGCAGATGCCAACCTTAGCCCCAGTGCAGGGCCCTAGAGGCCTCCAGCCATGTGAAAGTTTTCCATCATTAAGATAATTCTTAGTATGTACAAGTCAAAAGGAAGATAAGATTTTATGACTGAATGTCCTTTAGTCATGAG